CCTGGAGAAAAACATTGCAGACCTCATGACGCAGGCTGGGGTGGAAGAACTGGAAGGTGAAAACAAGATACCTGCTACACAAAAGAGTTGAAGGTGAGGGAAGGGACAGTGTAAGTATCGTGTATGTTGGGATAATTTTGATAGAGTCATTTTCCCAGTTTTTTATTAACTAGACCTATGTCCCCATTACCTAAGACCACTGATTAACATTAGATGACCACTGAGTTTATATCATTACAGCCAAAAACAAGGAAATGAGTGTTGTTGAGCTGAAAATTCTTATCACTGGCAGATTTTTCTGTGGTTTGTTTTGTTTTGTTTTTGTTTTTTAATAAAGATAACTCAAGTACTCGTTTATGAAGGTGGCAACCTTTATAAATGCCTTAAGTTCTAAGGAAACTTTTGGGAACACTTCCTATACTAGAAAAATGCCAGGACAGTCACTGCTTATAACTTTAGATCAGGGGTCAGCCAAATGAGGCTCACGAGTCACATGCGGCTCTTTGGGTACGGTCCATCTCAAAAGTTTGCCGACCCCTGGTAGAGCCAATCCTGTCCCTCACAGCAATTTAAAAATTGAGAGCCATAAATATATTTTTACATAATCACCATTATGTGAATAGTATCCTTTAAAAATTTTATAAAACTATGATAGTTGTATTTTCATTTTCAATTTTACTTCAGAGCCACATACTCAGGAGCCACAGTTTGCTGACCCCTGGCGGCTCTTCGGTCTCAAAAGTTTGCCGACCTTAGATGGTGGCCACAGTAAGCCTTCGCCCTAGAGTTGACGTACATTTTTACCCTATAGTTGATTTAAATTTCCTCCGTGTGGTTTCAGATATCAGAGGAAACATTAGTAATCAAAAAGACCCAAATAGCAAGATAGGTAGCTGCACAGTTGGCGACCTTATTCTCACCATAGTGGGTTTCTTCATTATAATCCTTAAGTGTGGTGGTTACCATACTACAACCCAAAAATCATTTTTCAACTCCCTTTTCTCCCATTTTTTTAGCATTTTAATTCCCTATAAAGTTTACTGAGAATTTTTAGGTAACTAGAGTACCAAGTAGAATATACAGTAAAAGACTAAATTTTTTTATTTTCTGGGTGTGTCCTGGCTGGACCAAATTATAAGTAACTGAAACACAGGTTGCTTTGAAGCACAAGAAAATATAGAGAGGCTTGGGAGGTAAAAGACCTACATTTGCTGTTATCTTAACAATAGATTGGGTTGATTCTCTGTGTGAGTAAAGTACATAATTGTTTTGTGTGGGTTGTCATCTTTATCCCTGTATAGAAATAATTTGGAAACTGTCCTTCCAGACTTAGAATCTTCTCTGGGTTTCATATTATAGGACAGTCAAAAATCTCATCCAGTGAATGAGAACATCCTCTTGAGGACTGAAGACTTTCGAACAACAGGGATATAACAAAGAAAAGAGTGGGAGTAGGAAATAAATTGAGAAGTTTTTAAATAAAGATTCCCAATTAAATCTATTGTATTTTTGCAAAGAAAATAAGTTTAGTTCAATAGAGGATTCAGAAAGGATTTTTAGTTGAAAATTCTGTGTATCATTTTTACTTGTCCTTATGTAATGAATAACATGTTGATGGTTTTTCATTTTTCAATAGGTTGCTAATTTACACTGAAATCTGGAACATTGTTTTTACAAGCCAAGAGAAGACCGAGTGGCTTTTTGCAACTAACTACTATGTGTAGACAGGNATTTTCAATCAGGATAAAAAGCCTTCAAGTCTCTTGCAAGAAACACACACACACACACACACACACACACACACACACACACACACACACACACAAACTCCAGGTCTTCATGCTAATTTATGTTCCGTGTTGTTCATGGCCATAAGCTGGATGTGGCTAGAAATCTAGGGTGTAGGTGTCCACACTTCTATACTCGGTGTGGGAGCCTCAGTGATTGGGGTGCAAACTGAGAAGGCCTGAATTCCTACCCAGCACTGACTGCTCACTAGCTTAATGATTCTAGAGCTTCATGTCAACATTTTGTAATATACCAAGTACAATACAAATTTAAAGTGGTATGACTTTACCAACTCTTAGGGGTTGAATTGTGTGTCCCCCAAAAAAGACATATTGAAGTCCTAACCCCCAGAACCTCAGAATGTGACCTCATTTGGAAACAGGTCAGTGCAGGCATAATAGTTAGGATGAGGTCGTGCTGCAGTAGGGTGGGTCCCTACTCCATAAGAAGAAGAGACACACACAGGGAGAAGGCCCTGTGGAGACAGAGCAGCGGAGATGGGAGGGATGCATCTACAAGCTAAGGGACGCCAAGAATTGCCACCAGCCACCAGAAGCTGAGAGAGAGGCATGGAACAGATTCTCCCTCACAGCCTCAGAAGGAACCAACCCTGCTGACATCTTGATTTCAGACTTCTGGCCTCCAGAACTGTGAGACAACAAATTTCTGTTGTTTTAAGCCACCCAGCAGCTCTGGGAAACTAAGACACCAGCCTTCAATCTTAGTACATACAGAGGACAATTCACAAGAAATGGCCCAAGTGAAAATAAAATCATATGTGAAGAACAAGTGAACAGAATTCTAGGCAATGTCTATAGATCCCTCTAAAGCCAGTGGTTCTTTATTGAGGGTGGTCCCCCCAGGAGACACTTGCGGTGTCTGAAGTTATTTTTGATTGTCATGGCTGAGTGGGGGGATGCTACTGGTACCTTGAGGGTAGAAGTCAGAGAAGCTACCCAGCATTCTACAATGTAGAGGGCACATGCCACCCCCCACAATAAGCACGAATTATCTGACACAAAATGCCAATGGTGCCGCTGCTGAGCAACCCTGCTCTAAACTCAGACATCTCAGGGAATTCTAGAAGGACAGAAAAAAAGAGAGGGTCAAGTCAAAAAGTCCTGGGCTCGAGTCTCTTCCTTCCTAATTTGACGGCCTGGTTTAAGCACGTCGACCACTCTATGTCTGTTTTCTCAAAATTGTAAATAGGTGATGATTATATCACAGGGTTCTGGGGATTAAGTTCAAACACTGAGAGATGTTTATTTAAGTGATCGGGTAAAGCACTAATCAAATACAAATACCAGTTAGCAATCTATCTTAAAAAGATTTGCCCTTTTGGAAAGGGAAGGAAGATGGGGGGGGGGGGAGGGCAGGAGGCGGGAGGGGGACAGGGAAGGAGGGGAGATAGGTGAGGAATGGGGACAGGCAGCATCACAGATCTGGGCTTGGCACATCGCAGGCTCCCAGCAAGTGCGTTCCGACGGGCCAAAGAAAACCAGAGAGGCCTTTAACGACAGCCTGAGAAGAGGTCAAGGTCAGCCCTTCACCAGTTTGCCGCAGTGCGTCGTTGCCCTTTTTTCCACCCGGGCAGTGTCCCAGGCTGGAAAAGGGGCGGGGAAGTGCTGGGTGGGGCGGGGCCAGGCAGGGCCCGGAGGGAAGGGGCGGGGCTTCGACTCCGAGCGGAAGCGCGAGACCAACGGCCTTTCCGGCGCGTGACGCCGACTACAGCTCCCACAACGCTCCGCGGTCGCGCGCCGGGCCTCCGTCGTCGCGAGAAGTCGTTGGGGGCGTCTGCACGGACAAACGGAAGTGTTGGTGACGGTCTGAGACATCACCGCCAAGCTGGGAACCGGGGAGATGGCCGAGACTGACCCCAAGACCATGCAGGATCTCACCTCGGTGGTAAGGGACGGCTGTGCGGGCCCGAGACCGCGGCATCCCGGGGAGGCGGCGGCGAGGCCCGCGGACCCAGGCGCCTTCCTTCTCCGCGGCTTCGCGGAACACGGTCTGTGGAGGCCGTGTTTCTAGAGGCTTCGCCCGCCGAGGCCTCTGGCTATCTTGACTCCCCGGGCCGCGGACGCGCCCAGGCCCGAAAACCCTCTTCCTCCCCATTCACCTGTCCCTGAACCGCACCCCCGGGATGACTTCCTGGTCCCCTGCAGCTCTCGGCCCCTCAGCCCTCGGCTTGCTACGCACCACGCCCTTCGTCGGCTCCTCCTTCACACCCGGATGCCTCCAAACCGTCAAAAGCTACCCCAAAGACCCAAGGGGTTTTGAATGGCAGCGGGACCCAAACGGGAAGTCTTCATTTGACCGATGGGAAAACCAAAACCCAACCCGGGGCGGGAAATGCCTTGCGGAAGGCCACGGAGCTGCCAAGAGGCCGAACTGGGGCTGGAACCCGGGATCCTCGGCTCTCTCTCTCTCTCTCTATCTGAGACCAGGGCTCCGATCCTCCTCCCGTGCAGGCGTCCCAGAGTAAGCGTGTAGGGGGTTTGGTTTTGTTGTTTCACAGGTGCAGACGCTCCTGCAACAGATGCAAGATAAATTTCAGACCATGTCCGATCAGATCATCGGGAGAAATATCCTTTGTGGTTGTCGCCAGGCTCTGAGGGTTCTTTGGAAACTATGTTCTGGCGGGGAGAGGCGGGGTGCAGGCCAACTTCGGCCCGCCATTGACCAGATAGGATAGTTGACTGAGCTTTGAGTGGACGCTTCTTGAGAAGCGCTGTGCAGAAAGGGCCGAGGGCACCGCTGAGCGAGAGCCCTGGCCCCAAGGACCTTGCAGGCTGCGCATAATAATGTCTAGTATGGTCGGCTGTTGACAGTGAGCTGCACGTTTTGCGTGTGTTCCTCCTTTGGTCCTCACCATGACCTGATGAGGAGGTGATAGTGTTAGCCTTTATTGGGCGGCTGAAGAAACGGAAGCCTAGAAAAGGAATGGCAGCCTTGCCCCGATGCCATCACCCGAAGGGCTGGGATTTGTTCCTTGCCCCAGATTCCTGTACTCTTAACCACCAGACTGCGGCCACGGGCCGCGTAGCAACAGGTTGCGTTCTGAGACAAGGGGCGTTGATTTTGTCATGGAAACATCCTAGAATGTACTTACACAAACCTAAATGGCATGGCCTGCTCCACACCTAGGCTACATGGCATACGCACACTGTCCTGTATTTGGTCCCTTGCTGACCGAAACGTCACTCTACAATGCATGGCTGTAGAGCAATATCCGAAGGAAATGGGGAAATACCAGTTTCATTAAGTCAGGTGTGTTTAAGGCCACAGTCGACAGGGCCCTGGAAGAAAAGGATAGAAATGGGAGATGACGTTTGTGGTCTTTAACTTCACCACTTGATGACATGAGCAGTCGCATTGATGACCTGGAGAAAAACATTGCAGACCTCATGACGCAGGCTGGGGTGGAAGAACTGGAAGGTGAAAACAAGATACCTGCTACACAAAAGAGTTGAAGGTGAGGGAAGGGACAGTGTAAGTATCGTGTATGTTGGGATAATTTTGATAGAGTCATTTTCCCAGTTTTTTATTAACTAGACCTATGTCCCCATTACCTAAGACCACTGATTAACATTAGATGACCACTGAGTTTATATCATTACAGCCAAAAACAAGGAAATGAGTGTTGTTGAGCTGAAAATTCTTATCACTGGCAGATTTTTCTGTGGTTTGTTTTGTTTTGTTTTTGTTTTTTAATAAAGATAACTCAAGTACTCGTTTATGAAGGTGGCAACCTTTATAAATGCCTTAAGTTCTAAGGAAACTTTTGGGAACACTTCCTATACTAGAAAAATGCCAGGACAGTCACTGCTTATAACTTTAGATCAGGGGTCAGCCAAATGAGGCTCACGAGTCACATGCGGCTCTTTGGGTACGGTCCATCTCAAAAGTTTGCCGACCCCTGGTAGAGCCAATCCTGTCCCTCACAGCAATTTAAAAATTGAGAGCCATAAATATATTTTTACATAATCACCATTATGTGAATAGTATCCTTTAAAAATTTTATAAAACTATGATAGTTGTATTTTCATTTTCAATTTTACTTCAGAGCCACATACTCAGGAGCCACAGTTTGCTGACCCCTGGCGGCTCTTCGGTCTCAAAAGTTTGCCGACCTTAGATGGTGGCCACAGTAAGCCTTCGCCCTAGAGTTGACGTACATTTTTACCCTATAGTTGATTTAAATTTCCTCCGTGTGGTTTCAGATATCAGAGGAAACATTAGTAATCAAAAAGACCCAAATAGCAAGATAGGTAGCTGCACAGTTGGCGACCTTATTCTCACCATAGTGGGTTTCTTCATTATAATCCTTAAGTGTGGTGGTTACCATACTACAACCCAAAAATCATTTTTCAACTCCCTTTTCTCCCATTTTTTTAGCATTTTAATTCCCTATAAAGTTTACTGAGAATTTTTAGGTAACTAGAGTACCAAGTAGAATATACAGTAAAAGACTAAATTTTTTTATTTTCTGGGTGTGTCCTGGCTGGACCAAATTATAAGTAACTGAAACACAGGTTGCTTTGAAGCACAAGAAAATATAGAGAGGCTTGGGAGGTAAAAGACCTACATTTGCTGTTATCTTAACAATAGATTGGGTTGATTCTCTGTGTGAGTAAAGTACATAATTGTTTTGTGTGGGTTGTCATCTTTATCCCTGTATAGAAATAATTTGGAAACTGTCCTTCCAGACTTAGAATCTTCTCTGGGTTTCATATTATAGGACAGTCAAAAATCTCATCCAGTGAATGAGAACATCCTCTTGAGGACTGAAGACTTTCGAACAACAGGGATATAACAAAGAAAAGAGTGGGAGTAGGAAATAAATTGAGAAGTTTTTAAATAAAGATTCCCAATTAAATCTATTGTATTTTTGCAAAGAAAATAAGTTTAGTTCAATAGAGGATTCAGAAAGGATTTTTAGTTGAAAATTCTGTGTATCATTTTTACTTGTCCTTATGTAATGAATAACATGTTGATGGTTTTTCATTTTTCAATAGGTTGCTAATTTACACTGAAATCTGGAACATTGTTTTTACAAGCCAAGAGAAGACCGAGTGGCTTTTTGCAACTAACTACTATGTGTAGACAGGTTTTATATTATAAAGTGTGCGTTATTCTTATCACATACTATATAGTTAGTTAATTGAGTGATTTTCCCCCGTTTCTTGAACATGGTAACTTCACATCTTGGACCTTGGTCAGTTGTGCTATTAAATATTAAACACTAAAACTTTGGCGGTTCCTGCATAAAATTATCAAATATTTTAGTGTATTTCTGTGAAGTCATTTTTTTTCTATCATTCCTTTTATAGTAGTTGCTGTTTGATAAAAGTTGCTGTGTAATTTTTTTCTATTAGACATGTAGTAGACCCTTGTGTTATAATTAGACTTTGTGAAGTAAGACATAGAGAGAGTTCAGAGTTCTTTAATTCTCAACACGGAGTGACTATTGAGCTAACACCAGAGTGTGTGTTGGTGATACTTTTCAAATAGCTAAAAACATTTAAAAATTGTTTATCCAGAAATACCTGGCACTACCTTGTCGCCAAAACTCAGACTTGAACTGTACTTTTATGTCTAAGTCCCTGAAGTCAGATGCTAAAGTAATGAAGAGTAACCACTGCCACTTTAGTGTGAGAATTTTTCAAAATTCGGGAAATGACAGAATTGCCTAATGTAATGAGGCATTCGTTAGTTAGAGTTGCATGAAATTTGACTACTTCCGTAGGACCTTACATTGTTCATCTACAATAGTTACCATAGAAAATCTGGCAGGATTTTAAAACTCAGTTACTCCATCTTTTCTTTGAGCTACTAAATGGGAAATAAACAGAAAAGAAGAGAGACTATGTACTAAGTCTGTGCCAGTTGCTTCGCCAGAAAATAATAAATGACTTGTAGTAGGTTCAAGTTTTTAAGGAATACTGTTTCTTAAACTATTTCTTTCCTAAATTCTTGCAGAAAAATGGTTTTATTATTGATTATAGACGACAGGGATGATAATTCTTGCCACTCAGAAATGCAGTGTCAGGAGTGCTAGGCCTAGAGGCCAGTATTGACTGTGAAGAAGATGAGATCCATGTGATTGTCACAGCAAAGTGATTTTGTACAGAAAAGATTGAAGAATGGTATAGTACTTCAGAGAGGAGAACCCTTAATGAGCACAGTACGATTTTTTGCTGTTTCCTATATTGCCAGTCCTGATTGTATTGCAGAAACATAATAATAAGAAATAACTTGTCCTATTTAGAAATTGTATGGGGATCACAAAGGAGTAAATTTCTTCTGTGATAAAATGATTTAACCACTGTTATGACCCACCTGCAGAAGCTCCTTTGATGGGCCAGTAGGTCATGCTGCAATATTTAGCCCTAAAAGCCCCAGATCCACTGGACTCTTAACTAACCAGATGAAACCGGTGAGGTAGATGTATTCAAGCCTAGTAAATGGCAACTGGAAATGATACCACCACTTGGCAATACAGCACTGGGAAGGTTAGTTGGAATTGAGGAGTTTCCTTAAGTGATGGAAAGATTTCCGAGGCTAGCTCCCCTGACCAAAAATACCTGCAATGAATAAAGGTGCCTGAAGTCCTGCTATTGAAGTTTCCTTTGTGTCAAAAATGATTGTTTGTTGTTCAATGTTTTCAGGTAAAATGCACATACCATTTTAGATTGTGGGCTAAAACCTCTGGAAGGATTAAGTACTAACAGCCACAGGCAAAGTGGGAAAGGGAGGTGTGGGTGGAGATTGTGTTGCTAGAAAGAAGCCTCAGTGACTGTGCGGTTTGCCCTGAGGGGTATCGAAGAAGAGCTGCTGTTTTGTGTGTTCCAGACAAATCTTTTCCAAGTAAGTTCCCCAGGACACTTGTCCCAGAGAAGCTCCAGTAGAGAAGGGTTTGTGGTCCTTTGGGCTGAGAAAACTTGCCTTGTGCTAGAGTCACTTCCTGAAAATTCACAAGGCAATTAGCATATGGAAGGCTCCCAGGCCCCAGAGCTGAGAAATGTGACTTGACTTTCTCACTTGCCAGTTTCCAAGTTATTTGTCCAAGAATCTTCTTATACTTAGCACCTAATTAGCATTTCATTGAACTGGTGTGGTGTAAACTACTGTACACGAAGGGAGATAGCAGCTAAAGTAATCCAATAAGTAGCGTTGGGTTCCCTTTATAAAGGAACGCCTGCATTGCCCTGTACTCACTTGACCTGCTCTCTGAGTCTCCAGGCAAAGCTTGAGCCTTGTATAAAAAAGGCTTTGTGACCCTAGGGAGGCCTTCACAATGGTACAAATGGGTGGTTTTCCTGGACTGCTGAAGGCCGGGCCTGCCAAACTCTGTACTCTTACTGCCACTATCTCTTAGCCAGCCTCAGCCTTTCTTGCACAACCTGGGACCGCCAGAGAAACAGCTACTTGCCCCTCCCCAGGTTCACATAACTCTCCCTCTGCTCTGTGAAACCCACTCCCTGAAGGCTTCAGCCATAGCCTGTGTGTATGGGTCAGCACTGCCCCTTTCTCATTCCAGGCTTAATCTTTTTTGTGCAGGAAAATGTCTGCCTTTCTTATCCAACCATTTTTCGTTTGTTTAAAAGCCAATGAAGATCTTACTTAGGGCTAATAAATCCACACAATAATGGAGGCACTTGCACCAAGCACATTTGATTAAATGCCCTCACCTCCCAGGCCCAGAGGCCCTACCAGCTTCCTCCTTTGATTTCTACTTAATCCTGCTTTCCTTCAAACCACAGGATTTTAATCTTACTTTCTTATCAATTGTGTTCTCTAATGTTTCATTCCTAGTAAAGTACTATTGTGTTTGACCTCATAAAAACAAACAGTGTTTCAGGTAACTAAAGATTAATTTGCCTTTGTGAGTCCTTGGAATCCTAACCTCAGGTAGAGCATTGTTGTCATGGGGAAATAGAATCCTCCAAACAATCAATTTAAATGAACTTTTTTAACATCCTGTTTGTAAATTGAAGGTTACCTGTATCTATAATTACGTTCCACTTTTTTTCTATTCTGTAGTTTATGTTTTAGTTAGACTAAATGGAGGCATTTGCACAACATGTTGTCAGATCTAACTGAAAATTAACCTAGCAACAGTTAACAGGCATAGCTAGCACTTATGGAAAGCGTTTATTATAAACCGCTGTGCTCTGCTAAGCATTTTGCTTACATTCTTTGATTTAAGACAACACTGAGTTAGGTTTGTATCTGATCAGTGGTTTAAACAGAAGGAACCCAGCATTGGGGGTCAGTTGACCAAGGTCACACAGCTGGAAGCATTGACCCTGGGACCTCTACCCACCGCTGTCCCACTGCAGAGCTTGCTCTTGGCAGTGTTTCGTCCACCTTTTGATGAGAGCTAAAATGTTCAAATATTTATATCAGGATTACCTGAGGATCATCAACCCACTACCTCCATGGATTTTGAAATGTCAGTTTCAAAAGGCTGATTTTACATTTTCAATTAAACATGACCTAAATAAAATAATAAACATGCTTGGTGTGAATTTTTATTCATAATTGAAACTATTCAGGGCTGCTAGAAAATGTGTACTGGACTAGCATCTTTTTTTTTTTTCCTGAGTAAGTTATTTGAGAACAACTATAGAAACAAACGCAGTTCAATTTCTCAAATGTTTGTGTTGACAGAACCGCAGGGAGTACTACAGGTTTCCACATTCCTTTGTAACACCCCCATGGTTTCTCTCACAATTATCCCTTGAGACCCTCCTTGGAGAGGAAAAATGCCCCTCCCCCAGTGACCTATTTTCCTACCATCTTATCAGGTCAGTTTTTTAAAATGATAAGTACAGAAGTCTCAAATAGGTACCCAGGCAGCCATCACCTGGAATCTTCGTTTCCTATTAATGATGTTAAGTGTCTGCTTTCAGCTTCAGCCTCTTTAAAACACTTTTTCAATAAATGAAAATGGGGGGTGGGGAGTAGGGGGCATGAGTCACTGCCCAAAATCAAAACCAGAGGGATTGTGATTAAACATGCTCATCGACCCCACAAATCACTTTGGAAATAGGAAAGGAGTTTGTTTCTACGAATCAGGTTGACTCTTGTAAATGAATCAATTCTAATGTTCTGCCCTAGCGCTAAGGCTTTCGCCAAGAGAGGTGCCTGGAGGTTCATAGGATTAGATTTACATCTAACAGATACAGAACATCCACCTCCGTGTGTGTGTCCCTGGCCACCGCTGGTGAGATGTAATGTTGCTCTCCTTGAGCAAAGCCAAAGCATGTTTATAGTCCACAAACATAGACTGCCTGCACGTCACATAGATGCGGCCGTTTCATAGTCATAACCTTGGTATACTTATAGTTTTCTACTTTGTGGACACATTTTGGCCAGTTAATCATATTAGTCGGCAAAATGTCTACCTTCCAAAGAAGAACAGTATTGTTTCTCAATAATTAAGAATAGCCTGAATTCGGGATCAAGCCATTGGGAAGCATTTAGCTCTACTGTAAGCAAAATAGGGCTGACTTGTTTCACAAGGCAAGAAGCCGGGAGGCAGGGCAGTTCCAGGAAGAGTAAATAAATGCCACACCTCCAACTAGACCGTCAAGGACCCCAGGTTTGGACCATCTTGGTGCATTCCACAGAAAGAGAATGCCTTTCTCCTCCCCCTTTGTCTCAAAGAGTGAAGAAAAGGTGTTCCTATCCCCACTGACCTTGCCAAATCTTTGGCAAGGTACAGGCCCCATGGGGCAGGCTGAGCCCTGTGGTTATCATCTTTGTCACAACGTGGGGATCGGGGTGCTGACATCTGGTGTGTAGAGACCAAGGATGCTGCTGAACACCCTACAATGCACAAAGGATTATCTGGCTCTGGCTACAGCGCCCAGGTGGAGAAACCCCAGCTGAACACATTCGTAATTCAACCTGTGCCTTAGTAATTCAATGCGGCCTCCTCTACTAGGTCCTGGACCCTCCCAGGAGGGGAGATAAAGAACAAAACCAGGATTCTATCGGAAAGGAAAGGGGTGGGTATTGGGTGAGCACCCTACAGCGCCTGTCACAGACCTCTTAGACACAGCTTCTGGGCTATTAATTGTAACCCTGGAGATGGTTTGATGAGAAATTAGCTGGCTCTCACCCTTGGCTGCACATTAGAGTCACCTGGTGTGTTTCAAAACCCCATGATCAGGGAGCACCCAGACCCACGGCGTCAGACTCCCCACAGGAAGGCACAGACAGCAGGCTGTTTTAAGCGCGTATGTGCATCACGGCTGGGAACTGCATTTGAGAAGGACTGTCTACTTCTGCTCATCAGTGATGTAAGTCGCCAAGCAAATTAGATGGGGTTCTGCCAACCTTCTGTCAACCCAGCTGACACTCCCGAGTTAGTCGAACCTGGCACATGTTATCTGACATTCAGTTCAATTCATGTGTCATTTTTGCTTCAATGACTGGATAGTGCCACCACTGTTCACGTAAGAGGATGTCTGATTCCCTGACAGGTGATGTCTTGTTAACCAGATTCAACTTCAGGTTTACCTCACGTTTCTGATTGCCTGCCCTGCCTTGAGCACGGTGCTAGGTGCCTTCATCTGTGTCATCTCATTAACTCCTCAGAACCCTTGAAGGCTGTTCACATCAAAAAGTTTTCCAGCTGGAATTTTTGTCCCTCTAGTCAGCCCTCAAAAAAATCCATCCTATACCATTGCTGTAGTTTTACTAGCTCTTGCCTTCTATAGGTCTTTAGAAGCTGCCATCCAAACCCAGTGAGTGTTTCCAGAAAGAAACATTAAATATCTTAAAACTCAAGGCCTGTTATGCCAAGAAAACCTAGTTAATTTTGATGGGCTGTGGATAATAACCAGAAGAGTCATTTCTGGACATTGAAATAATACGGTTGTTTCTTTTAATGATAACATTCTCCTGGGAATATGAGAAGACCATTTGACTGATTCCACTCCAAAATCCTATTGAGGCAAAGTACAGGCCTGAATTATGTGTGGAACAGATGCCTGGGACTCCTGTGCTACAAAGATGGCAAAGCTAGAAAGGCAGCAACTGCAATGTCCCCTCCCCTTGATAAGCAGACAGCCCTGATGTGGGCCAAACTTAGATGTTCCTCAATTAGAACCTGTGTTCACTGGGCCCAGAATGAAGACTCTTACAGATTCTTTGGAAACCAGCTGTCAAATTTATGCTGTCTCGCTAGCAGAATTTCAAAAAGAAGGTTTATGATTACCACAGGTTGGCATCGGGGCCTGTGAGCCCTCATCTCTGTAACCAGACCTTCCATCAGAACCTTTCGCCTGAGAGGTTGATTATATGAAACACGCATTGTGCCAGCATTAACAAAAGGAAATACAGTCAGATTTTTTTTAGTGGGTCAATCTCATTTTCTCCAGTGCAGACAATGATCTGTGACCCAACTTTGTCTTCCTCATAATGAGAAGCAGGCCCTGTAGGACCCTTATTGGCCCAGCTGAGCCAGTCTTTCTGGAATCACTGACTGAGAAAATATTCCTCACCGTGAACTCTGCCAGAAACTCTTTGGGTTTATTCAAGTTAATCTGTAGCCCAGAACAATTCGGAACAAGATTTGTTAGTCATGTTTTAACAAGTTACTGTTTGGCAAGTCA